AATGGCTGAAAAGCAATGCCCTAATATCGTTCATTCATTCAACAAATATTTATGGAGCCAGGCATCCTGCTAGGTGCTTAGACTATAATGACGACCAAAACCAGGAACAGCTCCTTGTCACAGGGCTGCTTATAGTTTGGTGGAGAAGCAAGATAATCACACGAATAAGTGTAAACTTGTAATGATGACAAGTGCTACAAAGGAGAGGTTTGCGGTATTTTGAATGCCTATTATAGGACTAGTCTAAACAGATTTGAAGAATGATGTGATAGATTAAAGATGGACACGTATTCTTTGCTACTCCTCCCATGAAGAGGTGATGTCTAATCTCCTCTCCTTAAATCTGGGCTGGCCTCAGAGACTTGTTTGACCAATAGAATGCAGCAGAAAGGATGTTTGGGATTTGAGAGGCTAGATCATAAGAAGCCTTACAGCTTCTATTTTTCTTGGAATAGTCTCTTGGGCTCTGAAACATCATGGGAACTACCCTGAGACTACCATGCCAAAGAGGCCATGTGCAGGTGTTTGGGTCAACAGTCCCAGCTGAGTCCTGCCTTCCAGCCATTTCTACCAAGCCACCAGACATAGGAATAAAATCTTCTATCCTCTAGATCAGAGGTCAGCGAATTACAGCCTGCAGACCAAATCTGGCCACCACCTATTTTTACAAGTAAAGTTTTGTTGGAATGCAGCTATACCCATTTATTTAATTATTGTTTATGGCTACTTTTCCATTACAGTAGTAGAGATGAGTAGCTATGTTAGGAATGATATGGCCTGAAAAGCTGAAAATATTTTCTATATGGCCTGTTATAGAAAAAAATGCTGACCCTTGCTCTAGGTCAGCACTGTCCAATAGAAATATAATGCAACCACATGTGTAATTTGAAAATTTTGAGTAGCCACATTAAAAAATTAAAAAGAAATACATAAAAATTAATTTTAATGATATATTTTCTTTAATTCAGGGTATCTAAAATATTATAATCTCAACATATAATCAATATAAAATGATTAATGGATATTCTGCATTCTTTTTTCTGTATAAAATCTTGTAGGTATTTTACACTTATAGCACTTAAATGAGCTACATTTTAAGTGATCAGTTGCCACATGTGGCTAGTGCCTACTGAATTGGACAGTGCAGCCCTAGACTAGCCCATTCACTAGATTAATACTAACCACAAAGTGACTTCAGTTGATGCCATGAGGAACAGAAAAATCACTCAAAAGCCTGCCCAAATTTCTGGCCCACAACATTGTAAGGCAGAGTAAATATTCATTGTTTTAAGCTGCTAAGTTTGGGGGCAGTTTATTATGCACTAATAGGTAAACAGAGGAGATTGAGTAAGTGTTACATAGGTGAGAGGGACTGGCTTGGAAGGATTCTAGGCAAAAGGAACAGCAGGTGAAAAGGCACTGGGGCAAGAGGGAGAATGAGGGAAGGTTGATGTGGCTTAAATGACTAGAGGAGTGGGGAGACAAACCTGCAGAGGTCAGCAGGGGCCGGACCATACTTACCTTAGGGGTCAGCAAAGGATTTTGGTGTTTATTCTGAGTGCAACATGAATTGTTGAAGAAATCAGAGGAGTGACATAATGAGTTTTGCATTTTGAAAAGATGACTTGGCTACTGTGTAGCAAATGGACGGTAGGGAAGCCAGAACAGAGGCCAGAAGACCAATCAGTTGGCTACTACAGTCATTTAAATGAAAGAAGATAGCCTTTTGGTCTAGGTTGGTAGTAGCAGACATAGAAGTGGATAGGTTCAAGCAATATTTAGGATTATAATCAACAGGATGTGAAGATGAGGATAAGGTATTGATTGACTGATTCATTGACCCATTCATTCATTCAACAACTGAGTGCCAGGAATCACTCTTGTTTAATAGACTAACACAGTGGATGCTACAGGGCTTTTTTACTTTTTCACTTGCACAAATAATGGGAAATTCATTTCCGTAAGTAGAGTAGGATAGCTTAATGGAGTCGGGAATGTCAGATGAGTTTGTGTTTAATGTGATAGAACACTGAGAGTTTGGGATTAATGGTTTGGGAGCAGAAAAATTAGGTAATGAAAGTTGAAAGAAAATAAACCTGTCAGTGACCTGAGGAAGGAGGTGAGGGCTGGTGTTAGGGTGATCAAGAAAGCCAATACTAAAGTCTCATAGACCTGAGATGAAGAGGCTGAGTCAGCATGCGGAAGTGGGTATGACAAGAAAGAGATGAGCAAGAGTGCCACCTTGATGAAAATGTGAACACTTCCTGGTGTCTGATGGACACAGGAGATGATGATTGGCTATGGATGTATGTCACCCATCTTGAGCTTAACTGAATTCCCCTAGCAGCCATGTCTCTTTCTAACTCAGGCTGGATCATATGTCTGACTTGGTTTCCAATCTCTTTTTGGAGCAAACCCTCTTGGGCCCCCATTTGTGGAGAGTTTTTCATACTTAACACTGCCTTACTTTGATTAGCTGTCTTTCCCCTCATCCATTTGGGAGCATGGTGTTTCCACACAGATATGAGGGGAGCAGTATCAAAGATGCATAGGTACAAAGAAGAACTGTCTATGTGGACTCATAAGGAGGAGAGGCTGCTTTTATTCATTCCCTGCTATTGTAGGTAACTAAGTATTAAAATCAAGAGGCCATTCCCCTCACTCACCCAAAAGAAGGAGCATAACATGTTGAGAGCATTTAGCTTTTCCAGTCTCCTTATAGCAAGTCTGTGTTACAAGACAGATGTCCCGTTCTCCTAGTCATATCTAGAATCAGATCTTTCTGAGTCAAGGAGCATCCCTTTTCCAAAAAGTGCCTATGGGTAAGCATCATGCGAAGTTTACAGGTGAGTCTGTGCACATCTGGTCAAGGGCTCCACCTACCACAAATAAGACCCACAGAACTCACTAAAAGGCATTTATACCAATCCTGGCCCTGTAAGAGGGCCCCTTCCTGTTCTCTCAGAACCAGAATCATGGTCAAAGAGAGAAAGCCAATGTTTCAAGGGCACAATTTGAGGGACGTCCCCTCTCCCCATTCTGTGTACCAACCCTACCCTGCTGCTTGGAATTCCCAAATTACTCATTCCTTGGGTTAAGGCATTTTTGAAAGCCCCTATTAAAATGCAAATGCTAGCTAGAAGGGAGCAATTTTTTTTTTTTTTTAGCCATTAAGTTCAAGTTAATTTATCTAAATAAGAAAAGGAACTCAGAATGGAATCATACTCATAAAAAGAAGGAGAATAGTGAATGGGAACCTTCCTATTCTGGTGGGGAGATGGAAAGTGCTGAAGACACGTTTTTTCTTCTATACATAATCAAAATGGCGTCTATTTCCCAAACCTCACCTTGAGTGTACTCCAATCTATGGTTCAGAAACAAGTCGCTATATTAGGTTAGAGATGAGGATAAAGGTCCAATAAAGGATTGTGTGCTCAGCCTATGACGCTATCCTTCTGTCCTGTCCCTAAATACTCTTATTTGCCTGACCAAGAAAGGCGAATTGGCAACATTTGCTTGGACTCTGGATAACTACTCAGGTACCTTCCCACCACCCGCTTTGCTTGTTTCAGACATGTTTCGTTCTTGTTCTATTTCTTCACAGCTTTAGTCTCCCGGTCCAGAGATCCTTAAACTTACCTCCCACCTCTATCCAATTTTTGAAACATGGTATTTGAATCTTGATTTTCTCCTAAAGAATCCGGCTTGGCTTACCTTTTCACCTTTTATGCTCTTTCCTCTCCCACCTTAACCTCAACTCCATAACATCTAATCCTCATCTCCACCAGGAAGAGACATCTGATATCCAGGGATATTAGAGTAACCAAAATATCAAGGTCAAAGACATAGTTATTAAACAGTGAGCACAATCACAAGGAACCATTTCCTTGTCTTCAAAGCACTGTTGCCATACAATCATTTTAGTGTGACTAATAGTAACGTTTTCCCACTAGGCTGAAAGCTTCAAGAGTACAAGGGCCATGTCTTTTATGCTCCTTGCTAAAAACCCACTACCTGTGACATAGTTAAGCACTCAATAAATATATTTAGAACACACCAATGAGCAAAGATTTATAAAAGCTAATACACAGGATAGTTCATATAAATAGCATTAATGGTACCTGCAACAGCAAACGGATGAAATAATACAGAACTACGAGTTTGTGCACTTAGACTCATTTAAGTCTAGAGCCTTGGTCCCAAGATTGAGGTTGCATGTCAGAGGAATAGACCATCTCCTCAGTTATTACAATTTGAGAGGAGTGGGAAGTTCCCTTGGCCAAAAATTATTTTCACCTGTCTCTCCTTAAATAACTATTAGTGGAGGCACTATTTTAAGCTTATTTGCAAATGCAAATATGTTCATGGTATACAGAACACGAGAAACCACTGCCTGGGCTCTTTTTTGACCTAAGACTTGCTTTTCAAATGAGCTCTTGGTCTCTGGTGCCAAGAGGAGCCAATATTGTGATAGGACACTTAGATGGGAAGAAGAAATGGAAAAAAGAGAGAAAAAAAAAAAAAGAGAGAGAGAGAGAGGAAGAGAAAGGTCAAATAAGAAAACAGAGACCACTGCAGAGGCTGTGGGTTTTGCTCCAGTCCTCTGAACTTCTCACTGGCACAAGGGGCTCAGGCAGGGCCAGGATCCTTGGATAGCTTCTCCTGCAGCAGAGCTACTTGGAGCCCCCAGCGCCCTGAGGACAAGGGCGGCTGCTGGTTGTTTGGTAAGTGGCGCCTTCTGTTTCCTGCCTGTCCTGTCTCTTAGCTCACCAAAGCAGACAAAGGGATCTGGCTGGAAGAGACATGTTTTTGTAATGTCCTACCTCCACCGTAGCCGGTCTCAGAATCAAGCCTGATGCTCAAAAGTTTTACGCGTGTACTCCACAACACTTCTTACCCACTCCCTTCCCAGCCGTCAGCGCCACCTCTGAACATCTGCCCCAGACGCAGCTTTATCTAACACCAAGCTCCCCAGGCATACGAGCTTCATAAGAACATACCTGTCACAAGTGCCCATCCACTGCAGCTCCCGGAGACCAGATACATAAGCCCAGGGGCATTCCCGAGGAACGCAGAAGCGAGGTACTAAGAATAAACGAAGAGGAGCCTTTGTGAGCTCCCCATAACCTCCTAACACTCCTTGTAGAGAAAGAAATAATGTCAGGGCTGAAGCTAGAACTCAAATGCAGAAAGGGGAACTGACAAGAAAGAAATAGCACCACAGACAGGGGCTGGTTCCAGATAACTTCTGATGGCAGGTGGGCATTTCCACCGATGAAAATGACTACAAATGCACTGGTGGAGAGTGAGTGAATGTAAAGCCCTGAGGAAACTCCCCAAAGACAGCCCAGCCACAAACATGACAAAGACTGACAGAGATCCAGGAGTGCAACCTTTGAGGCCCAAAGGTAAAGGTTCAGCTCAGTTTAACGAGGGTTTTATTGGGCAGCCATGTACCCCGGACTGTTTCTGGCTTGGCAGAGCTGCAGGAGACGGTCTGCAACCAGAGAACCCAGAGACTGGGTATTTCTCTTCTCACCCCGCACCCCCAAACCATTCATTTGAGTATACCTCCATGGATCCTGTTAGAAGCCAATTAACATACATGGCCCTTTTCTAAAATTATTCTAATCTAATCCTAATTGTCCTAATCTAGAATGTTTCTATTAACCTTGGCTCCTATTCCTGGAAGTGGGTGGTACTCTCGAGCCCGGGAACAAGTCACAGGCAGAAGAGTGAAAGCTATGTGAATGCCAAATGGATTTTTCCAAACCTAGTGCTTCTGCAGGGACAAGCTTCACACATATAATAATCCTGCCCCAAATGTATGGTTTCTTTTTCTAACCCAATCGGGCCCTGAAAAGCCCTCTGCTCAATGGCGGGGCGGGGGGGGGGGCGCATTTATGTGCCTCTGAGCCTGCAGCATTTGCGCTCAGGAGAGAAGCAGCTCCCTCTAAGCATGCCTCCTCCAGTCTCTTGGAGGCTAGCTGTGCCCTGCAGGGCTGGAGAAATTAAAAGTAACAAAGGGAAAGCTGTTTGTTGTCTGGGTTGAGAAGGAGCACCCAAGCAAGGACGTGTGATGCAGGGAAAGTAGCATAGCGTGGGTTTGGACCTGGTGTCCAGGGTCAAATCCTGGTTTGACCCCTGGGCCCTGAACAAGTTACTAAACATCTCCCCATCTCAGTCTTCTCGTGTGGGAAAGGTGACCAGCATCCTTGCTGCCTTGTTCTGAAAGACCGATGGGATCTTACATGTAAGTCGCCTGGCACAGAGCATGCCATGCAGCTACCTAGTCTTCATTATTACTTTTCTGTCTTCCTTTCAGACTTTCCAGTTCTCATTTTGACCTTTTTTGACCACAAAGATTATCCTTAACCACTGGAAGGGTGATGGTCATTCTTCCCCAAACTGGCCTGTCAACTCCTTCACCTGCCTTCCAGGGCCTCTCAAAGTCACAGGACTCCTGCATGGGTCCTGGCCCCTGACTCACAGGGTCTTCACTTCCTCTCAGCCATTCTGTGTGCATACCTTGGAAACGTCATCCTTTATTTGGATAGGCCCCACCTGGGGTTTTCCTCTGGATTTTACAATCATATATATATATTTTTATTTGAAAGGGTCCAAGTTTCCTTATTGTAACACATGAAATTACCCATGTATCAGGGCACAGGAGAATTAATCTATAATCCACTCAGTTTTCAAGTTTTCTTCTTTTCCTTGTACTCAGCCATCCAAATATAGACTAAATCAGAAAGTCTTGCTGTCAAAATATTTGGAATAGTATTTCCCAAATTTCAGTCATTCTAGCTGAAATCTGTATTATTTTTATACACTTATTTTTCTCTCCACTTACTTTGAGTCAGTTAATTTTAAAAAGGAATCTTTGTATCAATATGAAAAATTTTAAAAAGCAGTATCATTTACCACAAATAAAGGGTGAGTAAAAATAACACCTCACACAGGGCTTTGGAATTACAGAGACCTGGGTTCAAACTCTGGCTCCACCAGTTGATACATGTGTGTTCTTGGGGAAGTCACTTAACTTCTCTGAACCTTAGTTTCATCACAGAAGTAATACTAAATATCTCAGAAGCTTATTATGAGGATTTTTTTTTATTATGAGGATTAAATAGGAAGACGTATATATGGTGCCTCACACAGATCCTAACATACAGTAGGTTCTTTTAAAAACAGTTTTATTGTTTTCTCTTTTCCATATCTTCTCTCATCTCCTCATTTCAGCTCCTGCTTAGAGCAGGGTCCAATGCAACATCGAATTAATGGGAGATAAGGGGTGAGGCCAGCAGCAGAAATAAAGGATAACATGGTGCCATGGAATTCTCTTACTCTATGACTTCATTAGCATTGCAGGCTTGTCTAAGGGACCTCAGAAGTCATCCCCGTCCCTCACTGTGAAGCAAGGACCCTTTCAATATTATCTCTAGTAGATAGATATCCAGTCTTTGCTTTCTCACTTATGTTGGAAAACTCACTGCCTGATAAGACAGTTATAAGAGAAAGGTCTTCTTTATAATAATCCCACGTCTCCTACCTCTCCCTCCCCAGCCCTATAAGTACCATTCAGTTGTTCCTGTCCTGTTTTCTAAAACTACTGGTATATGTATTTTTAACCCCTTTACACAGAACCGTCCAAATAGTTGAAAGCAGATATAAATTGCCTTAATAGTGTCCTTTCTCGGCTAAATAGTATCAGTGTCCTCAACTGTTCCTCATATGACGTGGTCTTAAGAACCCTGATCAACTTGGTGATTCTCCCACTGGCACCTGACTCCCTGAATTTATCAATATACCTCTTTGCAGAGAGGGCTCATGGAATGGAATGGACAGTGATAAGATCACTTTCATTAATGAGTCAGAGATCACTTAAGCCCATAAACAGTTGTATTGGACTGGCTGAACATGATTTTTTTTCAAATGTCATGTCAGATCACCACCTCCTGGTCCCATCTTATTTGTGTGTCAGTGTTCAGTCAATCAGAATTACTCTGAATCCCAAAAATGCCTTCCATTATATTAGTCATCCCACCAAGCCTTGTGCCACTCAAAAATTTGATAAGGAAGCCTTACCCAAGGGTCATCAGAGCCAAGGATGGATGGGGTTCAGCAGTGATGGTGGTCAACAGTATCAAATGCTGAGATGAGGTTAAGCAAAATGAAGATCAGTTCCTTGTGTTTAGTAAGGAGGAAGTTACCAGTAACCTCAGAAAGCTGCTTTCTGTGTGGGGCTGCTTCCTCCATGTCTCACTCCCAGATGTTCTCATGTCTGAGGAGGCCAAGGCTACAAGAAAAAGCAGCAGGAGTGGAGTGGCCATGGGTAGTAGCTGGGTCAGAGTAATAGATACCTTCCTGATGTTCTTGCTCAACTGTGCCCAAGAGATATTCCTCTGGGATCCACGTAGTTAGGATCTACTCTGGGGGCAGGGAAAGGCAGAGCTAAAAACTTGTGGGCATTTGGAAAGATCAAACACTTACCCAAATTTTCCAATTCCAGCCATATATTTGTTTGCTATACATAAGTGGCTTCCTGTGGTCACTGGTCAAGAGGCAATCTAAAAATATTCTAGGTTTTGGTGGTTCCAGTATAGAACAAGATGGTTTCCACAAATAATGGTAGCAGCATTATTTATTGAAATGTTAGCATTTGTTTTCTGAGATTTCTTTTTTTCAAGATTTTATTTATTTGAGAGGAAGAGAGAGAGAGAGAGAATAAGCAGGGGGAGGAACAGAGGGAGAGGGAGAAGCAGGCTCCCTGCTAAGCAAGGAGCCTGACATGGGGCTTGATCCCAGGACCCTGGGATCATGACCTGAGCCGAAGGCAGATGCTTAACAGACTGAGCCACCCAGGTGCCCCTGTTTTCTGAAATTTCCTGACACATAATTTTTTGCAGGGGAGAAAGCAGAAGAGACCTAAAGTCAAGGCACTTTTGGACTTTGGTGAAAGCCCATGGAAGAGGTACAGGTGTCCTAGAGAGGAAGAGAAAAAAAGAGTGCTTTTGAGATGCAAGAGGAAGGAAGGGCAGAGGTGTTTGGGTCCTGTGAGCAGGGGGATCCAAGCACCCCCTTCTCAGTGCTCCCAAGGGGATAAAACCTTTGGGAGTGATGGCAGTTGGTTCATGGGCCTCAGGTGATAACCTCATTCCTCACTGTGGCCTGGGGGCAGAGAGCTGCCAGACTTCACAGTCTACCATGGTTCAGATGGTAAGGTTGCCAATGGCAACCAAGACAGACTTGGGATTTAAAGCCCTTCCTCCATTTCTAGGCATCAGGTGAGCTTCCTGAATTCTGGCTGGGCTGCAGGAAGGGAGCGGCACCCCTGTATGATCAAGATGGACTCTCTTATCCAACTGGCAGAATGGGTCTTACAGGTGAGATTAGATTGAATTAAAGGAAATATGGAAAGTGATTATCTCTTACATACTTGGATTCATGGGCAGAAATTCAGACCCTACGCATAGTTCCTAAACTGTTTTGAGTTTAGCAGTCATGCAGCTCAGGGTGGTTCTGTTCTTGTTCTTAGCCCTGCTGCACAAACTCTCATAGTACAGGATAGCCAGCCACCACTCCCAGGACCTGACTCTTCCCTTTTAACAAAACTCTTTTGGGTTAACAGATAGGGTTCCCTGATACCTCTTTATGAGAGAGTGTAAAATATTTGCTGTAAATTTTTTCTTTTACTGCTGTTGTAAAATATATTTCTAAAACCCTTCCTCTTGAAAGCCTAAACACAGTAACTAATGAGAAAATGAAAAGATAAGCCAGAAAGTGGAAAAAAATATTTGCAAAACACATACCTGATAAAGGACTGTACACAGAACTCTTAAAACTCAAGAAAAAGAACAATTTAGTCTAAAAATGGGCAAAAGATCTGATCTTTTGTATATCTTACTAAAGAAGATATACAGATGGAAGATAAGCATATTAAAAGATGTTCAGTATAATATGTCATTAGGGAATTGCTAATTAAAACAATAGTGAGCTACAACTACACACCTATGAGAATGGCTAAAAAAAAAAAAAAAACCCTGACAGTACCAAATGCTGACAGGGATGTGGAACAATGGGAACTCTCATTCATTGCTGGTGGGAATGCAGAATGGTATAGGCACTTTGGAACTCATCGTGGCAGTTTCTTACAACACTTAACATAAGCTTACCATGTTATCTATCAATCATACTCATAGGTATTTACTCAAATGAGTTGAAAACTTATGTCCACACAAAAACCTGTATACGAA